AGAAACACTGGATAAATCGAGGTGTGGCAGCCCTGTGCCAGCTGGATGACTGAGAGGGTGCAATATTGAGATTCTAAAGATCTGCTTTACTTCTCAGTGGCTGCATGGCTGGTTTTTTTTTAAATGAAATCGCGCCTAAAGAGTTTTGATGCTGATTTTACTGGGAATCTACTTTACAACTCTTGCAAAAAGATTTTGGATTTGCCTACCACTTCTGTGTTTTAGAAATATGTAGGACAAGGTGGGAGGAGATGAAAATACTCTGTTGTCAACATATGAAGCCAATCCTCCAATCCTCAGATAGAATGAACTACCCAAGCTGTATTATAAAACTGTAGTCATTCCCTCCTTGATGATGTCTCAGAATTTTCATGGAAAACTTCTCGACAGCACATGTATTGGGAGCTGCCATTTCTCAGAACAGTATGCTTGTGCCATATAACTTTTTTTTTTTTTCAAAATTATTTACCTACATATTCTAGTACCTGATACATGGAGCTGTTTTCTCTCTCCCACAGTCTCACTTTACTTCCTGCCAGCAGCCCAGCCCCACACAGCCATTCACTCACACCATTCCCCCCACTATCTCATGGGGTGAGATAAAGACAGTTCAATAGAAAAAGCAAAAGCCATGCACAGAAACAAGGCAAAACAATTAATTCCCTGCTTCCCACAGGCAGGCAGGTGTTCAGCCATTCCCAGGAGAGCAGGGCCCATCACATGTAATGGTGACTTTGTAAGCCATCACTCCAAATGTCCCTCTCTTCTCCCCCACTTTACACACTGATCATGATGTCACATGGTCTGCAATGTCCCTTTCCTCATTTAGGGTCACCTGTCCTGGCTGTGTCTCCTCCCACCCTCCCAGGCACCCCCAACCTCCTCCACAGCCTGGCAGTATGAAAAGGCCTTGGCTCTGTGCAATCCCTGCTCAGCAATAACAAAAACATCTCTGTGTTATCAACCCAGTGTTCAGCACAATCCAAAGCACAGCCCCATCCCAACCAGTGTAAGCAAAATTGACTCTACCCCAACTTACTCCTCATCTCACTCTCTTACACGTTGGGCTAATAACTGCCTGAAATTTTGTCCTTGTTTAAGCCCTTTCATCAGAGAAACTCAAAGTAGCTTGCAAACATTAGTTAAAAATAAAATAGCCCAAACATCTTCAAAGAGCTGTGCCGTCATTAACTAATCCCCACAGCATGTCAAGAAGGTACTAAAGATGCATCATTAGACTTGTGTACACAGGACAAGAGAAGCACAAAGATCAAGGCAAACATTTAAAAAAACATGTGCTACACAGACATCCACTAATTTGGGGTCTTGTTTTTTTTTTTTTATTGCCCAAATTGCAGCATTTTAATGACTTGCAAAGGCCTTACAAAGTCAGAGATTCAGCCATCATTTGGCAATTCCCAGTATCCTGCTACAACTCCATAAAAGACACAGTTCTTGTCATAGGAATTTGTCTGTTGTGTTGTCCTTAGGTGAAAAGAGTTTGTTATTGTTTTACTAACCACTGGTTTGTTTTATGCAGGTATTGATAAAATAGTAACTGTTTTGCAAGGTCAGGCAGAAGTGTTGGGGGTGTGTTGAGCAGTGCTGCTCTGCAGGAAGGTGCACAGGTAAACAGCAGCTTCACGTAGCACACCTGACACCTCATCAGCAGTCCAGCATACAGGCATTTGGTGCATCATTGGTAAGTGGGAGTAGAGCAAAGATCTCAGGCCAGGACACCTAAAGGATGTTTGTTTTAATAAAAGGGGCAGAGATGTGCAGGTGCTTCAAATTACTGAGAGGAAGAAACTACTCTTAACAAATTAGGCTAGATGATATTTGGCACCTATACCAAAATAAAACTTGTTTATGAATGTTACAGCACACTCATCCCAAACAGACAACAGTTTTTAAGAAGAGAATCATGTTTCAGTAGATATATAAATTAAAATTGGTCCTTGAAAAAATTATTTTCTTAGACTTCATAAGAGAGGTATTTTGTAGTTTTCATATAATTTTAACTAATAGAAATTTACTATACATTTAAAAAAAACCCTTGTGGTGATTACTATATTTTTGAATGTCTGCATCTATTTGTTGTAATTGCATCAACAATTCAGATCACTGATTAGGTCACTGTGGTGTCAGAGATAACAAACCAGTCATGAGCCTCTTTGTATGGAAGCTCTGTGTGCAGGCCAAGGGGCAGGACCTGGCTGTTAAATCCTTCCCTATGGATTGATCAGCTCAGTCACTGCTCTCAGAAGGAACCTTCTGCTCAGATGTAGCTTCTGTATGGAGGCACTGGTGACACCTCACCTGCTGAAAGGGAGGCTGGGCCAACAACAATTAACTCTAAAATGAAGGTTTGTCAATCCTCTTACAGTTAAGTCTTGCAAATAATCCTCTACATTAAACCATTTTTAAAAAGTCAGATTCACTACCTAAATTAGATTTTATGGAGATCAATTACTTTTAAACTGTTAGAAATCTGTGTAATAGCTTGCCATGTGGGTTGCTTGTTAACACCTTTTTGTGAACAAACAGTAATTGATAGTTTATTAAATGACACAGTTGTGGTTCTTGTGATTATACAGTGACTTTGCTATGACATGTCCTTGTTACTGTGTTGATTTTCTAAATGTGTGCTGATGTTTAGATTTGATATGAAGGCATCTCTTGGAATGTCATTAAAGATGTATTTTAAGCTTTTGTAGATATGATAAAAATATATAGATAAGAGAGGAGTCTGTAAGAGAGGGCTTGTGCATCCCCTTCCCAGGGATCAGGCATGGCTGAACTGCTTTAGCTGACGATTACAGCAGGACATGATCTCCCAGGCTGCCCTCCCTAGTACAAAAAAAGTAATGGAATTTACTGTCAAGGGATATCTGTCTTAGAGATATTTTCCTGTGGCTCTTTGAAATGAGCCTCCCAGCCTTATTTCCTTAGCATTGTCTAGACCTTCCTGGAGAATGATAAACTGGCTAAACATTAGAATTCAAAACCTTTCTTGGCTGAGATGCATTTAGAAAAAAGAAAAAGCAATTCAGCTGCCAGTTGGACATGACAGAAATGTGAAAAATTTTTGGACAAACTAAGGACTTTGTAATAGTAGTATTAGAATCCTTGGATTGACAGGTTTAAAATTTTCATTTCTTAATTAGAAGCACTCATTAAATAAGCCACAAATGCCACCTGTAATGACTTCAAATTGTAGATTTACAGCTTTGGTAATAACTCAAGGCAGATGGAAAAAGAAGCATTACAGAGCAAGAGGCATTTTTCCCTTAGCAGAGACAGATTGCCAGCTAGGGATGCTGTATGACAGACATGGTTTGTGTATTTTCTTGGGAGACTGAAACCTTCCTCTTATTTGTACAAAAAATTCTTTTTAGAAAGTACTACTCCTGTAGATTTTAACACTGTTGGGCTGTTAAGAGGAAAATTACACAATGAAAAAGCAGAAGACAATACAAAGGCTCTGAATTCTTACACTTAAAGCTAGAATATTTGACCTAATAGGATTAGAGTTACTAGTGAAAATTGCAGGTCTCTGCTCTAATTAGCATTCTTGGAAATTAATGTATAGGTATGATCAAATAAGTGACCTGTCTGTGGATGAACGATGGATGTTACTGCTACCATTTCTGATGGATACTCAGTGGGGCCCAGGACAGCAAGGTCAGCCTTGCCTTATTCTCTTCAGATCTGAAAGGTATCACAAGAAGCAGCTTGTATTAGCAGGAAGATGGATCAGGTAACCTAACCTGTTTTGGTGCTGTGATGCTACCCTGGGAATTGACTGGGGAGCTGCTGCAGTAAAATGAGCATTTCCTCATCCCCAGACAACATCAAGGGGGTGATTCAGTAAGGAGGTGCATCTCCTTCTTAAAAGGCTGTGTGCTTGCTAATGTTAGTCATAAGTGCACAGCTTCACAAATTACAACCTTAGCAATGATGGATTTAGGGACAGAACTTCCAGAAAGGAGGTTTTACTTAGGTATTCAAGGCCAGATACTGTGTCAACAAATTATCACTGCCTTGCCTACCAGTTGGCTTGCAAGAGAGTTCATGCAACTGACTCAGGACTTTTATTTTTGAAGAATACAAAGTTAATGTCATCATTTTCTTCTAAAATTATTCTGAAGCATCTCCTGACTAGGGTGATAAATTGGAAAATGACAGTATTTACTGGAAGGGGAGTAAGAGAAGGTTCAGCAAGTACAGGACAGAGTGTATACTGACTGAGTGAATCCAGTGCATTGCAAATTCTGTAGAAAGCAGAGGCATTTTAGGACAACCTGTTTTTGCAAGTAAAATTAATGTGTAGGAATAACATTTTGCAATCATTGGAATACTTCTTGACAGAAGTTATAAGGGCTTGGCATCTAGTACAAGGGTACCACTTGAAATGTCTGCCAACCTGCTGGACTGAGTTGCAGATTAATTTTTTTTATGAAACTCCCTCAAGATGGTAGTTGGTCAGTTTGACCTCCAAAAACAAAGGAATTTAGTTAGATTCTACTTTCTGTACCAACTTTAACTTAAGCTATGAAAGAAAGCGTTTGCTCTCTAGATTTCAAAAAAGAGCTGATCTAATCCTTCCTTTAGCTGAACAGCCTGAAGTTTTAAAAAATTTCAGTCTTTGCCTTCTGGTGATGGAGAGTAATGAGGATGAAGCACCAGTTAATAGTTTTTCAAACCCTTGGAAGAATTATTAAGCTGTCTAGCATTTTAAGGCATCTTAAATAACGTGATGCTGTTACTTGCTGGTTTCTCAGTTAAGTGGATACTCATTTGAGTTACTTAATGGTATTTGAATATTTTAAAAATTGCTTTGTATTTTCCTTCAGAAGTAAGCTCAAACTCCTGTTGTTATTTCAATTTGGTGTAAATCTTCTGTAATTTTAGGGGTGTTCTTTGGAAATAATCTACATCTTACAGTATGTGCTTAGGAAAGAGTTGTGACTATAACACAGACAGTAAATTGAGACTGCTCATTTCCATGGCTGTTTATTCACCTGACGTGTCAGAGCATCAGTACCTTCATTAGTCACATGAGCTTCAGCAATTCAAAGATTCAAATGATAGTTTAATGACAGAAGAGTGAGCTTAAGCTTCCATTCAAACCCCTTGCCTCTGCACATTTTGGTTGGGCTCAAGTTGACACATCCCTACAATGGTGTATCAGAATTGGGATCAGATTAGCCTGTAGTTAGACTTTTTTCAATGAAGAATTAAGCAGTGTGTGCAATCACGTTAAATTTTTTTTTCTTCCTTTTTTTTTTATGCAATCCCCTTTTCCTAGGCTAAAGTTCTGTGTCTTCCTTGCAGCAGTAAACCTGCAAAGCTTCCACTGACAAAACAATGGCATTTTACCTGTTAGTCCCCACATGAGGCATTCCCAGGAAATAATTATATGGGAATAGAGACTTTGTGGACTGGAGCCATAAAGGGTAGTGAGAAATTGGGCTAGCCAGTACCTGTCATGCTGATTCACTCTTCTTATTGTTTTCTTATACTTTCTCACTCTTCATTCTTTTTGGAGAGACTGTCAGTCTGTTCTGCACAGGACCAGTTCTAACTTACTTTTCAGGTAGACAGCAATATTTCTTTATCACTGTTTATTAGAGCTTGGAGAGTTTTGAATGACGTGGCAAGTGCAGAAATGAGGTTTCATTGATTTCTCTCACTTTAAAAGGAAATCATACACACATGCATATTTCAAATTTGCTTTTTTCTTTTTTTTTTGCCATTATTAAAGTCAGGCTGGAATAGGTAGTCCCTTAAGTGCTCTGGACTGTGCTTAGGTAGTGTCCAGTACAAGTGTGGCTCTTGTCCAAGCTTGGTCTCACTGGTTTTTCAAGCCTGAAGGATGGAAGGCTCCCCTAACTTCCCTGAAGAGAACATGTCAATAGCCTGGTAAAGTCAGAGGACTGCAAAGGAGCCAAAACAACTGGTAGCCCATGAAAAGAAAATGAATGTCACTTTACTTCTACTCATGAGGCACCTGGGAAACAGAAATACTCCTCAAACTTAGGAGATTGGTAGATACTTTATTTTACTAAAGTTAGGGTTCAATCCATAACATAAGACTTAAAACCTAACAGTAAAATTAAAATAATTGTTGAGAAAGCCAGTATGCTGATTATGCTAAAAAGCTGAGTGAAAACACACAGTGAGGACACCAAAGCATCCTAAGGTTGTTCCCATAGTGATACCCTGAAGGCAGTGTTTTCAGCCAGTCCATACATGGGAACCTGAGAAACCCAGCGCTGGAATGTTTTACTCAGAGTTGTGTAATAGCATTCCAAACTTTGCATTTCACATCCACACCCTCTCCAAAGGAAGAGAGAAAAAAGCTGACATAGAGACTCTAGGCCACTCCTCTGCAGTTTGCAAAGGAGCAGTGGCACTTCTGCTGTCTCTTTTTCTACTGTCCAGAAACAAAACTTCCCCATCAGGTTACTGTGAAACTGGAGCTCTCCTGCAGGGACAGCAGGCAGAGCAGGGAGCAGAGAGGAAGGAGAGCAGGTGCATGGTGCAGTGACTGTATTCCCACTGGCATTCAGAAGCTCTGGAGGAACTGTGTCTGCTTAACTGTCCCAGACTTCCTTAATTTTGGCTGACCTTAGGCAAGGCACAGTCTTGAGTCATAACTGAGCACAGAGACCCCTGAAACCACCAGAGAACCCTGTTACAGATAAACAGTTTGAAATCCTGCTGCAGTTTGTCCTGATGTCAAAGTAATCTTTGTATCACACCTCACTCCTTAAAAAGTGTTACTTTTATTGACAAGTCAGTGGTTGAAATGTAATAAATACTAAACCAACCTTATCCATCATACACAATGGATCAGTTGGCTTTTTGGCCTCAGGAAATGTGTCAGCAAGTGACCACACTATTCACAGTCGTGCACACAAATCACCCAGATTGCAATTCACAGTTCAAAGGATGTGATTACACACCACAGCTTAAATGGTGGCTTATGAAACTTCATCGTGGGATTTCAGATATATTGGCTTAGAAATCTTCCTTAACCTCTCCTGGTGTCGCAATGTACGGCCTTGTTTATGGGCAAGGCCCAGAGGAGGCAGGTGGATCTGGAAAAGAAAATCCCACCAGTTAGGTGCATATTGAGAAGGAAAATACAGACTAAGTTTCACTGAGTTTTAAATCATTTTTTCACACTTTGGAGAGGGTAACACTATTGTCTCAAGGCAGGTTATTAGATTTCTAGGAGGAGCACTCTCTGAGGAGTGATTAGTGGTGTAACTTTCAGAACTAATTAGTGGTGTAACTAAAACAGAACTAATTGTTCTGTTTATTAAAATCCTATATATTTTAGGCCTTAATAAAATCCTATATATGCAATGCCTTAGTAACTTTGTTTTGCAGTTTGGTATCAGACTGCAATGATACTTGATGAAATAGGATTGCTGACAGTGTTCCAGAACAGTAAGAACTAGAAACCCTAAAAATTCTTGAGTAATGTCTTGAATCACTGTGTGATTTATTCATACCTACTTAGTAAGTTACAAAATAACCCCAAACTGTATGTACTGAAAGCCTGCCTTTTTACTGTCATGATTATATATATATGGCACATTAAAATGCACAATCAATGTCATTGACTCCATAAGCAGAAGGAGCAATAGGTGAAAGACTCTTCCTTTGATTGACAAAGTCTTTATATTTCATGAGACTTTTAGTAGGAATCATGCAGCTGTAACCCTGAAATGACTGAAAACTGTAGGTGGTAGCCGTCAGGTGTTACTGTTGCTGAGGCTGTCATCCTGTAAGATGGGTGTTTAGGTGCAAACAGTAGTAAGAATACTGACTAAAGCAGCAGTAGAGATTTCTAGAATCTGAAAAATAATAATCATCCAGTTTGTCTGAGAGAGATTTTGAATCCACTGCAGAGCACACATTTTAGGCCCATTTCTAGGAACATTGTTTGCCAGCTGTACATTGCTATTCTGTGTATTGAAACAGATGGTAACAGTGGCCATAGTCTAGACAAGCATCCACTAAAGATACAATTTAATTTTGACCATGACTGCCTTGATAAGGGAACCATAGATGTGAAAACATAAACTCATCAACAGGAGTAGAGAGGGAGGCAGCATAAACTATTACTGACAGAAGTGACTGGGCAGTGAGGAAACTGTATTTAATAGTGCACTAGAAAACTTTGCTGTAACTTCCACCATTTCAGTAATCTTGGACATGTTCTTCTCTAGGAAGAAGGAAAAAGAAGCAGCAACACAGACAGGTATTTCATGAGGCCTGATTTGTGACCAGGAGAACAGTTAACAGTAATGTAGGTTATAAAAATTATTGTACCTATGAGAAATGTAATTAGGTAGTTTTATTCTCTCATTCTCTTCTATTATTTGATTCCGTTACCATGCTTCTCTATATTCATTGGTTGGCTAAATATTCAGAGGCCTTGGGAGTTTAGTTAATACAAGTCCATTTAGGCTGTGACTCCTTACTTTGAGAAGGAATTCTCCAATTTACAGTGAAAGATAAAGAAATCACAATGTACATTTGGCTCTGCTTTAGCATACATTTAAATGCCAGCTCATCTAAAAATGCAGTGCAGTGAGAGTGATGGAAACTGATGGTTTTGTTGTACAGGGAAAGCTCAGCAGGTACCAGTGAAGACTTTGTGATTTATACTCACAGGTCTTGGGTAGGGGATGTTATAGTGAAGTCCAATTTCTATTCTTGCTTCACATTCTTCTATGCACTGCTTAATCAGATTTGGATCTGTTACCTATGATGATCAGACAAGTGTTTTATATGAGTACAGTAATTAGCAATTGGAAGCTCAAGTGTAAATGATGCCCAGCATGTGGCTTTCCTTAGCTTATTTTGGCAAACTCAAGGATACAATGAATTGTTTTTCACACCCATAAAAGGTAACACTGGTATTTTCCTGGACTCAACAGTTCTGGGCTTGATGGTGCTGAGTGTTAACGCCCAGAGGCTTTCAGGACTGAGGCTAAAGAAGTTTTTTACCCAAACATGGTATTTTTTCTGTAAAAATACAATACACATGTAAACTACTACTACATCTATGAAAAAAACATACTCATCTGTTCATCACTCTGTAAGGTCACCAGTGGAGAAAGGAATGACACTGTTTGGTGTACATTCTGTTATCATCCTATCCAGAAACTCTCTTTGAAGTGAGAAATGTGGTGTGAATTATGACTTAAATTCATTTTTTTGATTTTGCATTACTTCAATTTAGTTCCATACCAATATGGGATATAAATAAGTGTTGTGATCTTGATTTACAAGAAGGGCCTTTGATTACCAGGGTTTGAAATTTCTTCCTTAAGACAAAAATTAAAGTGGTTCTTTTAAAAGAAGTGCCAATAATTGCAGCTTTGAAAAGAAAAAAAAAGAAGCTGCTGAATTCTGTTTGCCATTGCATGGGTAATGATACACTTAGCTAACTTTGTAAAGATCAAAAGCTGCTTCAATTACACAAGCAGTATCTTTGGAATTTAGTTTTTTCTTGGCACTTTCTTACTGAAAAAAGACCTTTTAGACTTCTACAGTAGTTAATGAAGAGCTGAAATGGTTTGAGTTTTCTCAGGGATGATATTTAAACTGTAACCCAAATACACCAGCATTTAAGGTGAATGAAATCTTGGGACTCAACCCTTATATTCCTATCTTAGCATCCAACCACAGAGTGGAAAGAGCAAGAGAAGAGTAATTTGGAAATTCAACACCATGAGGACACTCACATTTTTGTTTTTTCGGAATAATGTTCTGGCTTCATTTCTAATGTACTCTTTCTCTCTCATGGTTTCCTCAATCTGTCCTGATGCCGACTGCCAGTTTTTGGCTATTCGGAAAACCTTGCGGTAAAGGCCAAGAACTTCTTGTCGAGTTGCTGGTGTCATCTAAAAAAACAAGACAAACCCCCCAACATATGCATGAACATTTCAGTTGCCAAAAGGCCAGCAAGCAGGACATTTGTTCACAGCATTAAATTAGTTTAAAAATATTTCCACCATCCAAAGATATGCTGAGCTATATGAAAAAACCCTGAAATAGCTGAATATATAGTGAACAATAATTAGCTGTTGAAAGCTGTTGAATATATAGTGAACAATAATTAGCTGCTGAAAGTTGGAGCCTCAGTCCAGCAAAGTATTTCTACAGATACTTAAATGTATCTCCAGTCAAAGAGCTTGAGCTCTTGCTCAAAGTTAAGCACTTGGTTTAGCGCTTTGCTTTAGTGCTTAGCCTGGTACAAGAATGCCTTGGTTCTATTTCAGTGACGTTTTGCAACAGACATTGGGCAATTCACTGAAACTCTACGTGTCCCCCTTCCTGAGACGTTGTACCAGTGCTGACCCTATCTTTGCAAATCTGTGAATGAAATACATGATAAAATCACCACAATATTGCTGAAAACTTGTACAGGCTCCAGGGGCTGAGAGGCTTGTGATACCATGACAGTAGGCAGTAATGATTCAGCTGGAGTTTGATGTGATGAGAAGGTGATGAAAGCTATTTTATCTAAGCACTCAGGAGAGGCAGACTAACTGTGCATTTAGGAAAGTCTTGAATGTCTTGATTTTCAGAGAGCTGTGCACCTTCTGAGCCCACTGAATCAGCCTCCAGGTGTGATTAGACGATTTGTCAGAAGAAAGAATGAAATCTCTTTCTTGTTTTGTGTAAACGAGTATTTTATCATGTAAGTGGCTACACTGTCTCATGACAGACCACAAATATCCCTGAGACAAATCCACTTCTGGATAACAAAATTTCTGTCGTAAATTAAATTTACAGAAACAGTGACTTTTGCTTAAGGGGCACTGCAGCTGTCAAAGGTGCCTTACTGTCCCAAAGGAAGGTGCAGCAGCCCTGCCAAGTAAGTACAGGGATGCAATGAGGAACAAGGGTCAGGGACAGGACATTATCTGACGATCAGGATCCATTTGCCAACCTGGATCTCTAATTACTCTGGGTGAATCTACCCTGAAATCAGACCTGTGTGCTGGGAATGGACAGTTTGGAGCAGAGTAATTCAGACAGCCTGACCTTCCTCCTGGAGGGGGCACACTCTTGGCCATGAGGAAAAGCTGCTTCCTAATGCAGCACCCAAAACCATGGGATGTTTGGCAGTGTGCTGTGGCTCAAATCCCTGCAGTCTGTGGCAATTCCTAGGAAGCTGGGTTGTAAAAGAGGGGCTAGAACCTCTCAGGCTGCACTGTTCTTTAGCTGCTGCCTCCAGCACAGTGAGGCAGCCTGACCAGAACCAGCCTCCTGTGGCTCCAGACACGCACACTCTCTTTTCCTCACTAAAACTGGAATTTCAGATGCTAACCTGAACACAGGATTTGTCTCCTGAACACAGGATTTGGCTCATAAGAAATCCTGAACTATAAACTCCTAGCTTTATCTTAACTATTGCTATCATCTAAAGACCTTTTGTGTTTTCATTAACTATTTTTCTCTGATTCTTAAAAGCAAATATTTTTGTTTTGCTATTTGTATTTTAACATGTTTAACCAATCATATATTTTTCTCCCATATAGAAAATTCTTCTTCTTACACAGCAGAAAGTACTTCTAGTAAATGTTTAAAGTATTTCTAGGAAATGAATTCCACAATAATATAACTAGATAGTCCCAGCTCATCAGTTTGGAGTAAGTGCTTCACTTTATCCACTGTAGAGCTCCATTTTGGGCAATTAAATCAGTCAGATACAAAAGCACAGATGTACACATATCTGAAAAATCACTGCTTCTCCCTGCTAGGTGCATATTTTGTGCAGAAAACAAATAGTTCAGTTACAAGGGTTAACCTAGCAAAAGCAGAGTCCTAAATCCTAGCCTCACCTAGAGCCTCTCCTGACTTCCCTCCTCTGCTTTTATCTGAAGGTGTCACCTCTGAGAAACTGATAACAGCTTAGGTTTTCATGTAATCCATAGCGAAAATAAAAGGAACAGTGTTGGTGATAAAAATGTTTAAAATACAGGTTTCAGTTCTGATCTATGCATCAGTGAATTTCCAAAGTGACAGCTTGGGACAGCACATGCCCATTGTTCAGAGCTGACTACACCTGCTGCCCTTGGATTTTAAACATAAGAAGAATCTGTTTAGAAATATTTTATTGAAAAGACTAGAACCAACAATTATTTTCCCCACTAGCTGCTTCCCCTCCCCCACCTACAATTTACTCTTTTGTTCTTTAACTCCTCTGTGCTGGAATTGCTACAGAACTGTGTAGCCCCTCATCTAGGCATGGGCTGCACTTCTGCATTCTTACTCTCCTTCCCACATATGATGGATGATGTAAAAGACATTAAGCAGCTATTCATCTATACTCAGAAACCAGCTGCTCCCAGGGCTCATTTAGTCAGCAATTCTTATCATTACAGACCTGCTCATAAGCCATTTCTGCAAAGATACATAAATGAAGGTATGAGGAGCCCTTTATAGATCAAGGACTTCTGTCTATGGCAGGAAAGGATGAGAGCAAATAAGACAAAATTCAAAGGCTGGGTCAGATTCTGATCTGAGTGGGAGTATAAATAGGGAGTAATTCCACTGAGAGAAAAATTACTTCCAATTTAAAATGTTGTAAATGAGATTGGAATTTTTCCTTTGGTATAAACAGAGCCCACACTGACAGAAATGTAAGTGATGGTACAAGTCATGTATCAGGTGCAATTTCATCAAGTGACACTACTTGTATTAGTTTTGTGGGTGTGCAAAATGATTCTGAGTGGGATAGAAAGGAAGATAAGGGAGGCTTTCATGTCCTTGTAGTTACTCATCTTGCAACTTACATCTTTGGCATTTAAATCATAATTATATTTCACATCTCTGGAATGCTAAGTGGATGTTACACCACTTTCCCACTAACACCCATCTTGCGGTAGTCACACCCATTGTTTAACTTCTACCACCCTTCATTTTACTGCAGCACGCAGCCCACAGAGGTTAACCACAGGCATTTCTATCAAAAAGTACAGGGCTATTGTCTTAGCTGAGCAAATTTCGGGTGTTCACTGCCGCAAAGCAAACGGGGAGAGGTCCGGGGTAGGTGTGTCTGTCGGGGGGAAAAGCGGAGGTCGCAGCCCGGAGCCCGGGCTTTGGAGGGGAGCCAAGCGCCGCTCCCGGAGCAGCGCTGCCCAGCGCGGGATGTGCCGCTCCCTTGGCGTCCACGCAACCCCCTCCTGCAACAGGCACACCAGCACCTGAAACATCCATCGAATCCAAACTCCGACGGAGATTTGAGCACTCAACGACTGACTGCAAGGTGAACGTGCAAACTTTTTTCACTGATAATTTAAACAAATAGTCCCTTAGACTATAAAATGCAGTAGGTTCTTCTTTCTGGAAACAAATAGACATGCCTTTGAATTGTTAGTTGGTTGACCCAAAAGTTCAATAATCTGAATAATCAATGAAACACCAGTTTTATTTTGCTATTTGCAGGTTTTAAATTTGCAGAATTTAAACTAAAAGTTCATATAAAATAATAAAAGGAATCTGCCAACTGTACTATCCAATGAGCCCAACAGTGCAGTGTCAAAGCACAGCTAGGACAGAAGACAGGCTGCACCAAGTCTTGACTACAGATCCAGGAGCAGCTAAACCACAGCTGCTTCCCAGCAGGGGATGCTTGCCTGGGAACACATGTCCAGCCCTCTCCTCCTCTGCACAGCTCCTTTGGTGAAGTTGAAAGTCTATTTTATTTCATCCTTTCTTCTCAAGTCAAGCATTAGCTACTCACTTTAAGCATAAAATCTGCCAGCAGTGAATACATAGAGGATTTTAGAAAACAAAGGTCGAAAGGAAAAGCCCATGGGGACAAAGGGTATTTTAAAACAATTGATCTCTTCTTTCACATCCCAGCTAACTGGGGCATGCGTAAGTAACACACACCTAGTATTGGTGCTGAAACTGGATTTACTTTGGAGCACGTGGGCAACAAAACCCTGCAGGAAATAATTTGAAAAGGCAGCTTTGAACTTCTCAGATGTAAAATGTTTTATTTAGAAGCAACACAATTTCTATTTGACAGCTGATTTGCTACTGGCAAGGAGACCAAAGGCACAGTGACAAACTGCTGGGCTGACTGCCTTCCAGACTAAGCTGGGGTCACATCTCTGCTACTGAAGTAAATGGTGTCATTCAAGACCACGGTGCATCAACACCATAGTAGGGAACACCACCATGTTCCATACTATGTGCCCGTGAGACAATCCAGCCTGTATGTCAATCTACAGCTCCTATTTTCAAATGCCCTCTTTGGCTAATGTTTATTTAAAGGATGCAGAAAAAATCACTTATCTGGGTAATTTTTTAAGGAGCTAAATTATGCCATATAGCTAAAAAGCGACCTGCAGTCTCTCCTGCTGCTAATGCAGCAGATAATCAATCATTCCTTTCAGAGCTCTCCACAGCAACAAGAGGTCAGTAATCCATATTCCTCTTTCATGCAAGTCTGCCACAATGAGTCTGTGGTTCCTAAGGCAGCAGTGGATTTGGGCTGTCACTTCCTTGAGGGCCAACAACTGAAACAATGAGTTCCTGTAGCACAGGGGGCAGAGAAGGGGTCACAGATTCCTGTGATAGCTGGATAGGTCACATGCCTTCCAGCAATATTAAGTTTCATAATCTAGTTTCCACAAAAGTAATTTTGTTTTCTTTTACCCAAATCAATGACTCAGTGGCCTGTGACAGTACCCTGCAAATGCTGACCACACATGGCTACAGTATGTACTGGCAAAGTAAAAATTTCATTTGAATTTCATTCTTGAATGAACATTCATAACTTTTTTTAAAGATTCAGACAAAACCAAATCCTAGCAAAACCTCAATCACAGCTAAAGTATTCCATCTCCACATGGTGAAAAATGATTAGAATGAAAGATCATGTTCTTCCATGATGGTGTTACATCTTCATTTCTACCAGTGACACAAGTCTGTAAATTTCCAGACATTCCCATCAATTTGACTCAAAGATTTATTTCTCACTCTTTCCATCTACACTTGCAATCATAAATATATGCAGATTTGGTGAAAAAGAATGAAGTTACTGAACCAAGATATTCCATAATAGTATCTAAAAGCAGGGTGACCATGACAGGGTTTAGGATTTTGTCATGCCAGTGTCTTTTTGCTGGCCAGCTGAAGTGATCTGAAACCCTGATGGAACACCTCTGAACCAGACTCCCTAAGTCATTGTACTCACTGTTCATCACTGGGATGGGAACTCTGCTCTTCTATCTGTGCCTCAGATTTCTGACTGAACTTGGATCTCTTTTAAACTTACTTTTGCATATGGAGCAGTCTTTTGATCAGAAAAAGCAAACTGCATGCAAAGAGTATATAATTAAATAGTAAAAGCAAGGACATGGATTTTATCACTGTTTCCTATGTCAGTTCAAATAAGCCAATTTGCACAAAATTAAGGTTCTACAAAATTTTTTTCACTTGGAATAAAAGAAGGTTGAGGCATTATCTGGTTTTAGTAGGACTTACAGACTTGCCCTGGGAGTGCCTCCTGTGCTGCAGGAGCCTCAGGAATAATAGAAATGCTGACTTAGAGTGTGGAAAGGGGGAAGGGAAACAAAAAATTTGCTTTACTTATTTCTTAGCTTTCCCATGAAAAGCACACAGTGTCCAGGTAAACTCTAAAGCAATATGAACTCGTCTCTAGTCTTGTCCAACTCTGTTGTTCATACTTTCACACCATTTTCTTCTCCTCTGTGTTTAGTTCTCTATCACTTACAAGCAGAGAAAGACTTTAATGCAGAGAAATTTAGGAGAGAAAATGAATTCTCAGCTATCCTTGGATGGCCTTGCTTATATAATGTAGAAGCACACAGAAATATAACAACACAGACACAGGCTCCAGTATAGATTTATGCACCTTATTCATACCTTGGCCTCCAGCCAAATGCAACTGAATGCCTGAATAGAAATATTTCCCAGCATTGGAAACACTCCCAAGCTCGAGATCAGGTATAAATATTAATGCTAGCAGAGACAAAATCCTCTCTGACCCTTTTCTTACTTAATTCTGAGGGTCACTCAATGAAACTCATTGATAGACATGATTTTTAGCTGCTATTTGAGAACCACAGCATGGCTGTGGGCATGGAGGGCTGTGGGGCACAGAATCAGGCGAGTTAGAAAAGACCTCTGAGCCCATCAAGTCCCGTGTGTGACCAAACACCACCTTGTCAACCAGACCATGTCCAGGCTCTCCTCCACACCTCCAGGGATGGTGACTCCAGCAAGCACCAAACTGGGCAGCCCATTCCCATTCCCATCACCCTTTCTGTGATGTTCTTCCTCATGTCCAACCTAAACCTTTGCTGGTGCAGCTGCCAATGGAGATTTAAGATACTGCTTTCTCCTGCTGTGGGTCAATGAGCACTGTGGGCACCGAGTGCTGTGGGTCAATGAGGGCTGAGGGCACCGGGTGCTGTGGGCACTGGGGGCTTGGACCACTGTGGGCCACAGACCCCTGTGGGTCATGGAGCACTGTGGGTCACAGACCGCTGTGGGTCACTGAACCCTGTCGGTCATGGGCCTCTATGGGTCACAGACTGCTGTGGGTCACTAAGCCATGTGGGTCATGGACTGCTGTGGGTCATTTATTTCTATGGGTCACTGAGCCCTGTGGGTCACAGCCCGCTGTGGGTCACTGAGTCCTGTGGGTCACTGAGCCCTGTGGGTCACGGCCCGCTGTGGGTCACTGAGTCCTGTGGGTCACTGAGCCCTGTGGGTCANCTGTGGGTCACTGAGTCCTGTGGGTCACTGAGCCCTGTGGGTCACGGCCCGCTGTGGGTCACTGAGTCCTGTGGGTCACTGAGCCCTGTGGGTCATGGCCCGCTGTGGGTCACGGAGCACTGTGGGTCATGGAGCACTGTGGGTCACGGAGCACTGTGGGTCACAGCCCGCTGTGGGTCACTGAGTCCTGTGGTCACAGCCCGCTGTGGGTCACTGAGCCCTGCCCCTGCCGGGCGCCCCTCGCGGCCGCGGCCACTGCCAAGATGGCGCTGCCGGCCCCCATGGGCTGGAGCCGCGCGGCCACCGGGGGGCGCTGCCGGTGGGAGGGGGGTAGGGCGCGTCCTTGCGCCCCCTGGCGGCCGGGGCGGCCCTACCCCCGCAGCCGGGCGGAACCAACTCGCAAAGCAGAAGGGGGTGTCGGCCCACCGCACGCGCCTCCGGCCTCTCCACTCCCTCCGCCCTCCCCGCGTGTACGCCCGCCTTCCCCCCCCTCCCCGCTTTACCTTGGTGCAGTCGTGCCGCGGCCCCGCCCCGCCGGGTGCCCCCGCTCCGGTGGGCGCGGGAGGCGCGAGCCGCCGCCTTCCCTGCCCTCCCCACGCGTGCGGCGCCGGCGCCCCGCCCCTCGCGCGGCACGTCACGGCACGTCACGGCGCGTCACGGCGCGTCCGCCAGCTGAGCGCCCGCCCGGAAGTGATGCGGCGGAGGCAGAGCCGCTGGGCGCCGCGGAGGTGAGTGAATTGGACCGCAGCTCTTCCCGTCCGCCCGGGCTGCGGGGCAGCGGCGGGGGCGGCGCGGGGCTCGGCTCGGCCCGGCACGGCCCGGCACGGCCCGGGCGGCGGCGCGGGCGGCGGGGTTCGTCCGTGCCCGCCGCGCTGCTCTCAGCCCCGCCGGGGCCGGTTGTGCTCGGGGGGCCCCGCGCCGCCGCCCCCTCACGTCAGGGCCCCCCGAGCCGCAGCCCTGCAGCGCCGGGACAGCCCGCCGGGGGCGGCCGGGCAGGCGCTGCCCCGGTGCCCGGCCGGGCGCTGCTCCGGGCGGTGCCGGTGGGCTCCGGTGCCGCCGGGCCGTGCCCAGCCCACACTCATCGCCGCGCCCCGAGCGGCGGTGCTGCCCGGCCCCGGGGTTTGCTTCTCCTGGCTTTTTCCGTTCCGGTGTGCGCGGGGTCCGAACGCGTCCCTTGGGTGGGCGCCCCGCAGCCCCCGGGCCCGAGAGCCGCTGCTTTGTTCGGGTGCGCTTCGTGCCCACCTTCCCACGTGCCACGCGGGAACGAGAATGTTGGACGTGTTTCCAGGGGAAAGGCAGAGAAATAAACTGCAGAGCGATTTATCTTCTAGCTAGTTCTCGCCATCTGAACGTACCCCCTTCCCACAGCCACTTTTTTTTTCCTGCTTCAGCTCTCCCAACCTCCCCTCAGCGTGTTTACCCTCCCTGTGCAAGCTGCAATCTGCATTAATCACTCTCTGGGGCTGTGGTGGTACTAATAAGCTACTCGTAACAACTTAAATTATAACTTGCATAATCAGTGTTTTGAGCAAATATTGGTTGGAAGAATATAACCATCCTATCAGTGCTGTGGTTGCTGGAAAGAATCATTGATTATCTTTTAAATAGTTAACACTGCTGATATGCTGCCCTTCAAAATGTTGCATTGATAACTGCGCAGGCTGATGCCAAGTGTCAGAATACAGCATTGATCCACAGCTGGTAACTTTTTTTGAATGACAGTGTCTGTCACATAATTTAAAGGGGTAATGAGTTAAGTGCTCTGAAAAAAAGGATGCATAGCTGTACAAACAAAAAAGCATGGAGCTGCCCTACCTTTTTGAAAATTACAGGTCTCGCTGGCATGGTCTGTATGTTTTTGAGAGAATGGCTGACCAAAAGACGTTATCTAAACAAACTCTTACGTGTTTAAAAACCCCTTTGTTAAACAGTTAATGTGTAGCTACAGTATTAGTGTTTTATTTGGGCTACAGGAATGTGGAGAGAGAGTGTCTGAGTTCTTGTGTCCCTTGCCTGTATCTGAACACTGCTGCATGTTTCCCTGGGGAAAGTTAATCCTCAGAAAAGGCAACACAGTCCCTTAGTTAAGATTGCATGTGGAAGTAAAGAGATCTCACGCCATGTTATTGTCAGTTCTGTAGTCTGTCCTCAAAGTGTCCCCCACAAAGGTGTGTTGTGGTGTTCTGTGGAAAGCCTTCACTTTTACATGGAGGGCAGCTGACAGTCTAAAGCAAAGGCTTTCTGCACATCAGCATAAAAAGGAGAGCTTGTGATCTGTGTTGAATTAGTTCAGATTTGCAAAGTGCAACTGGCTTTACAAACTTATTGCAATACTGGCTCTTGTAATGATTTCTAAAACTCTGATTATTTCCTAATAGCAAGTTGTATGTAGGCATGAATACTGTAATTCTTAAAAAAAAAAGTAACACAACTAATAACAGGGAACGTACAGCTTTGGTACTACTTTGCTGCTTTCTTTGTGAGACTGACAGCCTGCAATATGAGCTGTAATCAGCTCATGTAATCAGGATCTGTAAGGCTGTGTTAGGTGCCTTTTCTGCCCAGATTCTTGCTTTATTTTGAAGTTGAATGTTGTGTTCATAGCAAATTCTCAATGATTTGTGTCAGTAGTTCTTATAATTTGTTGATCTTAGAAATTCGTTAATAATTACATCTTGCTTCCATTAAGCATGAATTGTGTTGAAAAATGGCAATCAGATGAAGGAGTGGCTTTGAGAGAAAACTAAGAACAGCTCTTTTGGAAGACCCTTATTGAAATTAATTGAAGAAGTATATATTGAGCAAGAAGGCTGCCAGACAGTTTGACAGACTTCTGTGTTCTGACAAATTTGTGAGTGGGTAAGGAAGAGGCTTGGTTCTGCTGCCTTCTTTGGTTCAGCTTAAGGAACAGGAAGAAATCCTCTGTGATGGGTATGTGTATGGGGGCAGTGGGGTATAAAGTGGATGGAAGAAGAGGGAACAGACATGGCTTCTACACATGCATTTCCTCATGGCAGAAAGGAATGCATGGAGAGTTTGGATAGAGATGCACGGCTGCAGGTTGGGAGGAGTGAGAGGGCCCCAGCACTGCTCTGATCTGTCCCACACTGAAGCACTTGATTTTCTTCACTGGTGCCAGGGAAATGTTGGTAAATTTAATTTAGAGCCTTGGAGCAGTATAAAATCCATCATGATGGGGTTTTGGCAGTTTGTGAGAACTTGCAAATTGCAGAAACAATGTTATTGTTCCATTAGGTGCTTGGGTCTGTACGTGAATGTATCAGGAAAACTCTGAGTAAGAAGAGACTGTAAAAATAGAAGCATGGGATATTAGAAAAACAGTCCTTTCTTTCATCCTCAAAACTACAGAAGGAGCTGAATACTGGTAGCCATAATTCTTGGAAGGCTGAGAGAATAATCTATAAACACTCGAGGGACTTGGTAGTCACAGGAAGATAAGGGGGAACCCCCTTAACAGTTTCATCAGAATTCCCTGGCTGGGCTCCTTCTCTTTGGCTGCTTCTCCCTCGGGGTCTGCATCTTATCTCACTGCCTTCCTTTCCTCTATTTGCCTCTGACTAATGGGCTTTGTCTTCTGGTTACTGGAAGTCTAATAAGTTCTTTTGTCTCTTAACCCTTCCTCCTTTTTAAAAATACTGGATTAATGGCTGTAATGTTTTGCAGACTATCTGCATTGGTGACATGGATTAATTGTGTACTTGACTCTTAAGTTACCCAGCAGTAATGACATAGTAACTTGACTTGAAACAATGGTATTTTCATGGCAAATGTTCAAGGCAAATGATTGCCTTCTGGTAAAGTGCCAACTGCAATTTATGCCCTGTAAACATGTGACACAAGTAAACTGTCTGTGCAGATTTTCTCAGTGTCTTCTGTACAGTAGTTGTCTTTTGAAACAGTGATCTCTTTTCTCCTCCCCCCACCTTTCTTTTGACTCTCGCTTGAGTCAGGTAATTACAGATCTGGGTTGAAACCTTCCCAGGGAGTGATCAGGAAAGCCAAGGATTGCAGACCTGCTCCCATTGCTCACTGGCACCTTGGCTCCTCCTTCCCCAAGGAGGATTTGGGCTCTTGGCGATGGGCGGTGGGTGAGTGAATTGGAGAGCCCCAGGAAGGTGGGGGATGGCAAAGCAAGGGGAGCTCTGATTTCCCCTGCAAGTGCCAGTGTTCTTTGTGGTCACATGAGGGGGTCCTCCTTGTCACATGTGGCTTTGGTGTGATAGTGTGGTGATGTTTTATATTCTGATCTCAGTGCTGACTATAACAGAGCAAGGAGCCAAAGCCTCTTGCCCAGAAGATAATCTGAGAACTGACCCATTTAGGTCTCAATTTTATCCATGTGTCTTGGGGGCAGCTCTCTGGTCCAATGATCTGCAACTAAAGGAAGCAGAAAATCTGGATTTTAGTTAAAGGTTATTTAATTGCAATATTCTGCTGCTAGAAGAATGACAGTTAGGGGACTACTTAGATGTAAGTATTAAAGAACTCTTTCACAGAAATAGGAATACTGTAGAGAAACCAACAAAAGCATAGGTGATGAGACAGGATTCCAGTAAAGAGAGTAAGCTAGTATAATCTTCTGGTGTCTCAGAAAGAATAGTTGTAAGTGCTGTTCTGTCTACAGCATCTGTTTTGTGAAAGACAAAACTTACTTTGCAAAATGTGGGAATGCTGTTCCTGACCTTCTGTCACAGTTTGTTATTCCCACAAAGTCAGACTGCCAGAGACAGTATGACAGTCGTAGTTGTTTGTTGTCTCACTTTTCCTGTTTAGTGAACAGAAGTGGGTTTTTTTTTGAACCAAAAGGATTATGTGCTCCTGAAATATGCCAGTCTTTATTTTTGCATCCATGTAGTAGCAGAAAGTGACAGTTTTTAGTTTTTTTCTTTGAATTTTTTTTTTTGCATGATGCTTTTCCTCCTGCAACTTTGGAACTTGTAATGCAGTCAGTCTTATCCTTTTGTTTTGAAATGGAAAGGGAGGGAGAAAATCATCTTAGCACCTATGATTATGGGAGGAATGTGTAGCTTAGTAATAGACTCACAAACACAAATGTCCTAACTCTTGGTTTTGGTCATATGCTGACTGTTCAATATTTTCATTGCCAGTGAGTCTGTACAGAAAGCCTTGAGTATTCTGGATCAGCATATAAATGGGTGGCCTGGAGTGCCAAAGGTCTGATGTATTCCAGCTTCCAGCAGTTACCTGTGGTTGGAGTTAGTGATTATGTCTCATGAAGCACAGGATAGATACCTACACACTGGTCTCTTGTGGGGTGCAGGATGTCAAGAGAAATCAAGAATACATGAAAACTTATGGAAAAAAGTGTTGAGTGTCTTTGTTACAACTGATGACCAAGTTTGAGTACTCAAAGGAGCTCCTTTGAAGCTACTGATACAGTTAGCATCAAAATACTGAAGCATCCTTTGCACAGTAGGAAATGTTGGTGTTGTTCACTGAAATAGGGAAGCTGCAAATCAAATTAGGAGAGAGAATTAGGGCTTTTGCAGGTGTCTGTGTGTATTTTCTGCTTTAGAAACTGCAGTCCATTTAAAAATCCAAGCATATGTTCTTAAGGCACGTTTGTATGTCAGTGCTTTCACTTAAAACAATTTGTTGTACATAACTTAGATATGATTCCAGTATTTATGTGGTCAGCTGGTACTGAAGTTCCTACACAACTGTGTGCAATGAGTGATTCTTTTGG